GTTTATAGCCACTGGTTTCCCTTTTTTTTATGTTATAGGGGGCATACGAGCAGACGGCTCACCTGATGGTAAGTGATCACCGTCGCCCATGGACACTTGCAACACCAGGAGTATCACAAATGCAAAAAAAAACAAACAAAGTATCACAAACCTTTGCTATCAGGTTGGCCATATAGTTCCTAACCATCGTTTGTAGGGTTCCGTAGTCTTGACAAAGAACCTTTAAAGTTTCGTCATGTTCGTGTGTCCGTCCCCGGTTTTGCTTTTAGACTGTTAGCACTAGAGAGCTGTAATTTTGTGGAGATATGTGTATCAACCACGTTGACAAAATTTTTTTTTGAGAAGTATGTCTCCGCTACGTGTAACCTGGGGATGTTTTTTTTTGTCATCGTTAACACCATAACCCATCGTGTGGCGTATCGTTAAATAGCTCCTTTAAAATTACTTAGGGGCTTGTAAGAATATTTTTGGATATAGGGATCTCTCTGCGAAATATTGAACTTTAAAGTGTTAATTTTTGTTCGAGTAGTGCGTCTTCCCCCTCTAGAAACTAAACTATTGAATTAAAAAACCTGGAAAAATTCATGATAATAGTGATTTTTACACATTTTACAAAATTATAACGGTTAATATAGATTTGTTAGTTTAAGAATAAAACAAAGTCAACTTTGGTTAAAGAAAATTTCTTACCTAGTGAAAATTAGTTAGAATAAAACATTAATAGTGACATAGATAAAGTTATTATAGAGTTAAACCTTACACTGAAAAACAAAATCAAAAAAAATATTTAGAAACCACAATAAAATATCATTAGTTCCACAAAGCTTCTGCGACGCGAGTACCCACGACAACGGTTTCTTAATCGCACATCTTTACGTAATTAAAAACTACTTTAAGTAAAAAAGAAAATATCGAATTGAGTTTGAGACACAGTTTGACTTTGATATAAATATTTTAGTTGAGATACATAATTTGATATTAATTGATTTTGTAATTTCCGATACAGAAAATAAAGACTCCAATAAAGATTCAAATACATTGTGGTAACCCTACACTGCGCGTGGTACGACACGCAGTTGGCCGGTTTTAATTTTAAAAACAATAAATAAGTAAATATTTCCAAAACTCACACCAATTAGCTTAGCCCCAAAGTAAGCACTGTAAAGCTTGTGTTATGGGATGCTAGGTTCGCGAATAGAATACATATATTGTACACATATAAGTATATTAATGTAAAAATACATATTTTGACTAGAGTACAAATGCTCGTATTCATCACACAAACATCTGCCCCCACCGGGATTCGAACCCTCGGAATTCGAGACCTCTCGAGTCGCGACACCATGAAACCCGGCGTGCAAACCACTGGGCCACGGAGGTTGTCAAATATAATATTGGGTATCTAGTAAGTTTTGCGATGAGTTACGCTACGCAATATTGTAGCCAGGCTCTATTAGTCTTCAATAACTTTATTGACTAGTTTTCATTTGAGATTTCAGTCAATTAGCTCAGCTACTTGCCTTGCCTTACAGGAGTATAGGAGATCAATGTAAGCAACATTTCCTGATGAATTTAGGCACGCTGGGTTTGAAGTTTAAAGGAAATCATGGCATTGATTTTAATAACTTGTATTTCACGATCACACTGAAATCGATTCCATGTTGGGTCAACGATTGAAATGCACTTTCTGTCTTTGTTACAAATTCCGTTAACTTTAACAAACTAAAAACATTTTTTTGGGATTAGATCTACTCTGTGTCTAACTTATATCTATATCTATTAGGTAGGTAATCATAATATGTGTTTGTATTTCAATATAATTACCTACATAGGAAACAAAATAATTTTCGTAAAATATGGGCAGAGGTCGCACCGTATTCACAGTCCCTAGAATTTAATGGATCCAATAAGCGATTAGAGCCTAATGTATTTATTGACAGTCCCAACCAACATCCCAAACGACGCGTGTCGTGTTAGCGCACAAAATGGCGGAATGGCGGCCGGAAGCCGCAACCGGCCGCTTCCGGTCTGCGGCCGTCTAACTGGACGTTGTTTAGTAATAGTACGATTATTCATTTGATTCTCTAATCGATGGTATGGCTCCTATTGACAATTCACCGTGTAATGATTGTGGAAATAGAATTAGCTTTCATGAATCAGTGGGTATTTGATAAAGTCATTGGGGTGTTACTCTTTATGCTTTTAACATAAATTCATACAGTACTTTGACGTAATTTTTTAAACTTGGACCTTTCATTTGAGTTATAATTGAGGAGCTGGTGAACAAAACGGTATAATTACATAAAATTAAAATTTACAGGAGCTGTTTAAAACTGGATGACATACAGTGAGCTTTTGGCATGATTTTAAATTTATAAATTTAGTAATTTTAACACTGTTTTAGGCGGCTTTGATTGAAAATTATTTGAGATTCAAAATCAACGGGCCCTGTAAAAAAAAGTAGTGATCAGATGCATAATTATACCGTTTTGTTCGCCAGCTTAATTATAATCAAAGTCATATATTCAGTATAAGCTGTTACAAGCACTCATGAATGTCTACGCCTTCGGTTCGTCAATCTACGCCGGGAGACCTTGTACTGAGAAGAACTGACAAGAAACTCAGCAAGGGCTGTTTTTTTCTCACTGTTTTATTATTTACAGATTCGGCAAGTTGAAAATGACTTCAGAAATGATTCATGAAGACACCTTTTATAACATAATATGAAATATACATTAATTGTTCACCTGCATTTTGATTGCTGTGTCATTCAGTATAAATACAAATAGTGTTCTTTTGACTAATACCTATATAGAGGATAAATAGATAGATCAGAACACGTCCTTTACGACTTGTCAAATAGGTAGATTATTGAGGTTTCTATAGCATACATTTTTAACGTCATGAATTTTCAAGTCTGTACCATACCTGCTACTGGAATAATAAGACAAAACTGGACATGACCCACCATGAGGTTGGATTGGTGGGTGCTAACGATTGCAGATTTACGTGAGATTAAAGGCTTGACGTGCCTACTAAACATAGAGTAGCTAGAGATATGTAGCAAAATTGGTTTTTTATCTAATGGCCAAACTGTAACAACTTCTACTGGCGCAGATCGAACGCGCTACTACTGTGACATTGCACCAATTTTTTAATAAAATTTGATATTATCATCAATAATGTCATTCTAACTGGATTGGCCGGTAGTCAAAGAAAAACATAATATACGCTAGTTTTCTCAGTTGAAGAGCTGAAGTTTTGGAAGCTAATAAAATTTAAATTACTCCATAAACACGTGTTACTTTCAAACAGGTGAGCACCTTGCAAGCCGGAAATATGGCCGCTTTTCATCATGCAAGACTTAGTCAAACGCGAGCTTATTTCATATTGAAAAAATGGACAGCACGGCGTAAATATATCTTCAATTTCATGTTAGAATAGAGACCACGCACAGACAGTAACTGCCCTGTTTACTCTGGGCTTAAAGATACACCTAAAATTACAGCCAGTCGGTTCGGATCATAGACATGCTTATTAGCTGAAAGCAAATCTAGGTTAGGTCCCAGATACCTTCATCCCGCTCCCCCGGTAGTTGAAGGATGTGTAAGGCCTTTATCGGCGAGGGGAGTCTCCTCTCCGTCTGGAGCCTCTAGACCACTCGAACCTGAGGAGGTCGGCTCAACTAGAGAGCGTCTCTGAGCCTCGGACCTCGGCTATAGTTAGCCGTTGTCGTGGGGGGAGTTGACAAAGCGATACCGCGCGGCAAATAAATAAATATGTTCAGATACATTCATTCTACCCTCTTCTTTTTTACACGACTGCCCAAAAAAGCGTCTAAGTAATATTTTTTAGTATACTAGAATATTGATTTATAATTTAACCATTAGGTACAGTGCCAATACAGCCAATATCTTACTGTTTCTGCTGACTTCTCTTGAGAAATATGGTGTAAAGTTATGTGTCTGTAAATAGTAGAACTTTATTAGGAATTGCTTTCTGTGGGTTGTGTTTTTTATAGCAAAGAGGTAAATGAATCCTTTGCTCGCAGTGAAGTTTAATAGGTAGATATGTAGGCGGTCAAAGAGAATGCAGCTGTACAGAACGGACTAGTAGTACCTACCAGCGTGCTCTGGCTAAACAGAAATCAGCTGAGCAGTTCCATTATATCAGACGCACGCAGGGTCGCATACTAACAGCCCAGACGTGACGAACTTGAACCCGTATCGAACCAGGAAAATGCGATTCCGATACTAGGTACGCCGATGGATTCTGAATGTAGCTCTCGATCTTACGCAGACAATCTTTGAAAATTTAATAAGTTTTGATAAAAATAAGTTACAAAAAAATAAAAAGTTATATACTTATACATATTAGTAGTAGGTACAAACTTTTTTCAACATAAGTGACATCTACTGCAAAATGTTGCAACCCTGTTTAATTGTACAAGGGTATAACAAATGGATGCAAATCAGATATAACAAGATAAAGAAAATATTTCTTATCATACTAGAATCTTTTTTACTTTTATCGGTTGAGTAAGTAGTTACTTTAGATCACAATGATATTGATTTATACATTTTCTATTTGAATACATTAAAAAGTAATAAGTAAGAGTAGGTGAACTCGGTGTCTACCATCTTTAAGTTTTACTATTAGCTTGGAAGTAGCCGTTTCACCACACTGCGTGAACGCTGTAGACAGCTTGTGAATCAATATAGCCAATGGCCCCGCCCATACCCGTACGTTCATTCACCGATCGCCTCTGTTTTATTATTCAGCTACAGGCAAAACACGCTGTGCTCACCTCATAACGGTCTCTAAAGTAATAATTAAAAACCATTATGCGAATCGGGAACGAAACCGCAACACGCCGCATCTTCACAACTGGCGTGCATCCAACCTACAACTCACTTATTATATTCTATGAGCGCGAGCTATAAACGTATTCCTGAACATATCACGTAGACGACTACTACCAATTTCAACCAATCAGAGTGCGACAATTCAACTTAATAGGCTAGGCCACGCCCAATCACGTAACCGCCTATTACGGCTGTGTAACGACGCAGGCTTTTAACTCCACGACGTCGGCCGATCGCTGCGCGTCTCGCTTCGCTGTAGCGCTGCGTCTCTCTCTAATTTCCCGAGTCGAACGTATACGGGGTGTCTAGGCTCGAGTGTGATAGAGTCGCGTTTGGCGCGCGTGCCTGATTTCAGTTGCACGTCCGAAGTCGGAAGAGGGGGACGCATGCAACTGTTTTCGATAATCGGCCGCGCGTTCCGTACGTGAAAAGCGGACAGTATCCCGCCAGTCACGTCCGCGTAAAAACGGATATATGCCCAGAATATTTATTAAGTGGGTGGTTGTGCGTGACTTTTCCCCTGTGAATAGCTAGCCCAGTAAACGATCGCCCACGAAAATAGAACGGGCGTTTGTTTGATAACTGAAAACGTCGCCGTCTGAAACACGAGTGAAGTCTGTGACCTGTGAACTGCCCATTACAAACAGTGAGATCGGACTCTATGGACATAATGGGACAAGAGGAAAACTCTTCGTTCTTGTAGTGAAAACAAAATTTCAAAAGAAACAAAAGTGAATCTAGTGACTGTTTTTGAAAATGGAAGGTTTTTGATGTCCGACCAGACTGTTTTGATACTTGAACAAAAAATGGACAACCCAAGTGGAAATTTAAACTAACTGACGTGAGTGGATAGTGACTATGTTGCCGTATCAGGCGGTAGCTATGGACTACGCGGTGGCTTCCGCAGGTTTCCACCACCATCAGAGGCCAGGAGGCCTGCCCGGCGTGATGGGCCTCCCAGGGCCCGGGGCCGGCCTCAATCCTGGCCTTAACCCGGCCTTCACTCATTCCTGGTTCGTACAGACAAGCCCGGATATCTGTCGGCAGCAACAAGCATCCAACCAATCGCATCTCGAACCTGGGCACGTTTCATTTTTTTTATTATATTTTTATTTTTAGTTATTAGTTCCTTTTGTGATTATCACTTGACAAGTTTATTTCATAATAAAAACATGTATGAAACATTTTTATGTAGTTAAATATCTGTAAAAGTTTAAAACTTCTCAAAATGATTATCTATAAAATTATAAAGTTGTCAAGGGATTTCAGTTTAATCTTTTGATTGCCTTTCATTATTTTGCATTTTCTTTATTTATGTGCTTTTTCAAAATGTGCTTATAATTTAGTTAGATGTTGTCAATTTATTATTAAAAGAACAGTATACTTATAAAATAAAATAAACATTGTATGTTGTCAAAATTCTTCAAGAGTTATTACTAAGCTAGCACTGATTCTTATCTATAAAGTATTGTAATACTGGTTTCTTACAAGTGTTCTAAGACAGGTTACATCAAATAAAAAAAATCATAAACGCACGCTTACCAAAATCACATTAGGTAGTTTCTTTTAAAAAATAGATAATATAATTGTTGAGTTCATGAATACCACTTCTTTTCCTCAATTTAAAATTTAACAATGATACGTTTAAAGAAATTTAGACTTAATCTTATTGGAAGTAGAGTTAAAAGTGTTTTAATAGCTAAACCAAAGATATAACAAAACATAAAATTTTAGCCTGAATTCAAGGTGTAAGTTCAGGTTAACCAAGATTACGCAAACAATCTAAAAAACGGCTATTCAACTAACATTTATTAATTAAAATCAAGATTATATTTTATGAAATTGAGTAATACACATACTTATGAACTTGAATAATGGGAATTAATTACCAGAAATTGCTCTGATACACATTCAAGTCACTGAATTGTTTTTCTAAATAACCGGGACAAGGGTTGATATTACCAAGACCAAATAAAATATAGGAAAATTAAATTTCAACATTGAATTTGGCATAGAGACACCTAGTCTAGCAAAGCAACAAGGCTTGCTAGCAAATCAGGATAAGACTTCAAAATAAATTTAGATAATAGATCTACTCGAAAACTAATACGGCCAGTTTAGGCTGTTACAAGCACTCATGAATGTGTAGAAGCTACCCCATCGTTTGACTATGTACATACTCGTATGTATATCTTGTAGTAAGGTTTTTGATAATATCCAGGTCCCAATGATTCATATTTTATTAAATATGTTCGCCATTTTCGCGTGATTAAGTAAAAAACATTAAAGACTTAACATTATAACAAATATAATATGATTAGGATGAATGATCGTAAATTTATATTTGCGAATGTGCCACGGTCGGCAAATCCCGCATACAATTAATTGGGGTAATTAATTAATTATTTTATTAAATATCTCAATAATTATTATACCTACTTTTCTCATAATTGCTCATATGATAATATATTTCAGAGGTAGGGCAAAGCAAATTTCCTGCTTCCCGCACGTCTAGAGAAGTAACCTCCACAGATGGTCTTACAAGATCACAGTGAAATAACACTACCTTTTGGTGGTGTTGAGTTTTTGGTGGTGAGTAAGGTTCCAGGGCTTCACGGGGTAGGGTATAGGGTGGAAGTAGACAACGCCGCGTGATTTGGAATCGCAGGCGTCTATAAGCCTGGTGAGCACTTAATATCAGGACGGCCATATGCATGTTTTAAATATAAATATGAAAAAATAAAAACAAAATTTTAATGCATTCATCAAATATAAATTCCCTTTCTAACCCACATACATTTTGTTAATCTAATTGTTTTTGCTTCATTATAAAGATAGTACTGAGTATTTTTTACAATGTTAAACAGCTATTATCTTTGAAGCGTGGACGGGACAAGTTATGAGTTGAAATAAAGATTTTTATCGCGTCATGACAGCCGGCTGGTAAAACGCGAAGCTTGCGCCACTAGACATAAAATTGTGGAATACCATGTGATTCTTAAACAGTTTGGTCGTCTAGATTTTGCGCAAATGTGATCATAGGTTTGATATCAGAATCTACAACAATACATAATCTTTTAGTTACGTCAACTTTTGTATTTAAATTTTCGAAAAAAATTTGTTAAACGTTTGTAATCCCGGCAGGGACGCATAAAATATTGTTCTCAAATCGTGATTGTTTACATTTATATTTACATATTATCACTTATTTTATATTCATACTAGTAATTCAGATCTAATTATTTTTGAAACTAGATAAATGTAATGTTGTCTAAAATTAATAAAATATTATTATTGCTTATGTATGAAGGTTTATTACACTACTTCGCATTAAATAAAGCATTAAAAACTTGAAAAAATTATCAATTCTAATGTTTAATACAAAAATACCAAGGCCAGTGCTAAACCCATTTTGATACTTTACATACAAAATCCATTTTGATACTTTATCTACCATATTTTAAATATAGTTTAGAGAGAGAAAAACAAGTGCAAAAATTCCTCAAATTGCATGACAAAAACGTCGAAACATAGATCCAAATCTCGTCCAAGTTGACAATTTAAACGAGGCAATATTACCGTAAACCATATCATCACATCAAGTTCACCTTCGTAATTTGACATTTTCCCAGAAACAGGCTCATTGTTTTAATAAGTCATCGTTTGCGCAAACCACTGCGTTCATTTAAAATATGAACTATTAATCTTATTTATTCATGCGACGTGAATCGAGTTCAAATTTCTTTTGACTACACTACTAACATAGTTGTACCAATTCATATGAAGGCAGTAGGTAGTATGGATATTAATTACTTATTATTACAGAATAGAATAAATATTGTGGATAGACGAAATATCCTTTTGTTCATCATCTAAACATAATTGCGCTCAGAAGGACGTGATGGCCGCTCAAGGGCAGGCTCGGTTTTGGTATCAATCTTGGTTACAATATGGCAAATCAAATTTTGGTTTTATTTACGACAGGATGAGAAACAATAAAAATACTTTAAAGCTAAATTAAAATAATGTCAAAAATATCAGAATCAAACTAAATAATATATTATCGTACAGAATTACACTAATAAAGTTTTTGAATAACACCAGAAATAGAATCCGAAGTCGAGTCTTCCTGCGAGCGTAGCTGGTATTTATAATACGACGGATATAGCAAATGCCTTCCAAAAACATTTTAAAGAAGATTCCCCCCTTCTAGGGGAATAGTTAGATTAAAGTCTCAGGGTAACGATGATCTCAGCATCGAGCACCTGAAGTACGCAGGAGTGCACTTGCCTGTGGGCCAATCGCCTAACCAGATTGCTTTGGAAAACGCTATCGCTTACGATTTCATTTTGTTATTTCTAACCGCCGAAGGTTTTCAAATACCTCACGCTCATTTTCTTTAATATTGTTATTACCAATGCGAAAGAAAAAAAAAGAGCGCGAGGCATTTGAAAACCTCAGGCGGCTAGAAATAACAAAATGAAATCGTAAGCGATAGCGTTTTCCAAAGCAATCCAGTTAGGCGATTGGCCCCCTGGTGTTCTTCCGATGTTTTTTAACCTTTGTATGAGTCACTGTTTTCTACCTGAAGACTTGATACACACTTGTAGTGCCCATTGTAAAAAAAACGGTAGATGCTTCAGATTTGTCCAATTATTGGCCTATTTCTTTCGCTACTGTTAGTCAAAGTGCTGGATAGTTTGTTGGATAAAAGATTAAGTCAGTACATTAGGAGTCACGATGCTGAGTTTGGTTTTAAGCTGGGTCTGTCATAGAGAGTGCCATCTTTTGTCTCAAACAGACTTTCTACACAGTAAGAAAAACCCCAGTCTATGCTTGTTTTTGGAACTTGTCAAAGGCGTTCGACCTAGTATCGTATAATCTTTTGTGATAAAATTGGTGTACTAAGCTGCCTCCTGAAGTTATATCTATTGCGACGCTGGTTGCAGCTACATGCGCCCGTCTATCGCAGACGAGTTACATCGGAAGCCAAATGTTGTATATGTTATTTGTTGTATATTTTGTATTCATTGTTTTTCAATTTGCATGTCTTTTATTTACTTACATTAGGATTACTTCTTACTTTACTAACACTTGTCTATGAAAATTTTACTAGAAAAAAATCCACACGGAACAGGTAGTAGACGGGACACGAACCCGCAGCCTTCGCTATCCAGGCGAATGCACTGACCATTATGCTACCGCGGCCCTGACGGGCGTGTCTAATTTTCTCTAGCCTTTCTTAAGCTGCAAGGCAGCGCCATTTCTTCGCATTGTAGGTAAACCACAATGTCAAATGAATAACTTTACAAGTATTAAATATTTTAAAGGAGAAATAGCAAGTATAGTTATATTTATAATTTTTAAAGCATGTAACTGCTAGATGCTGCCTGGTTCGCGTGGAATTTTTTCAAGTGAAATTTTCTTTAGATTTAAACATTTAGCAGTTACTTGCTTAAAAAATAACAAATATAACTTAGTCTATGAATATTTGTTTCTTAGGTTTTCACGCACATCACTCATTAAATAAAACTAGTTTTTACGGGTTAATGCACGAAACTTTATTTTATTTCATCGTCAGAATAATGATTTTTAAATAAAAAATCATTATTCTGACGATGCAGACCTGAAAAGGCTGCGAAACGTCAATAAATAAATAAAGTTTCGTGCATTAACCCGTAAAAACTAGTTTTATTTAGTCTATGAATTTTTATGTCTCAAAATAAATGATTATTATTATTAGTGTTGCAACACACATAAAGTCATTTTTCTATATTTTTTATACTTATATCTTAATTTATTATAAATATTTTTATACGAATCTCAAATATATGAGAAAGGACCGTTTTTCATGTTTAGGGTTCCGTACCCAAAGATTAACATTAAACGGTATTTTTGTCACTCTGTCGTCTATCTGTTCGTATGTCACGGGTCTCTAGATCGTAAACGGAATGAGTAACATAACTGAGATTTTGGTGTTTTTGTAGAATGTTTGCCCAAAGTCGAATATTTAGTCGAAGATTGTATTAAATTATTTTCATTGGTGGTCCCATACATGAAAAAGAGACGTTTTTTTCCGTTT